ACTTAGATGGGTGTGTATTTTGGTATTTTTTATGCTTTCTGAATGCCTCCAGGTGGATGTGATCAGGAAATGGGCTTCCCTTTTTACTCTTCTTCCTTTATCTCAGCGGTTCTGCCAGGTGTCTGTGGCCGCTCCGATCCTTTCCCCACATGGTCTCACCCAAGATGGCGGCTCCTGGAGCAGCCGAGTGTCCTGGACTTGAAAGCAATAGATTTCTTGCTTCTGCCACAAATTCCCCCAGCTGTGAGCCTTCCAATTGTCTAAGTATTCCTTTATATGTGGTTCAGAGTTCTGGGACCATCCCCTGATCCCGCTTGGTCGGGTATTCTGTGTTATTGTTGGCGGAGCTCTCTGCTATACGTCCACCCGATCCACCATCTTGTTTGTTCTGACGATACTAGAAGTTTTGACCAGTTCAGCATAGATGGTGTGACAGGCATTAGGTCCCTGTATTCATGTTTTCTGGAGGGTCCTCCCAGTCTGAGTCTAGACTCAGCTATATGCCTTGCATTGACTGTCATGCTAAGTAAGGCCAGTGTAGGCTGGCGATGGAACTGCATGCTGGGCCTTGCCCACTCTGGCACCTCTGCCGTATCCATGAGAGCATGCAGGAGTGGAGCTTGAAGACAACAGACCTGTGGAGCAGACCTAACTGTCTCAGCCGACAGCCAGCTGACCAGAGACACGTAAATGCGCCTGGCCAGGAATGGGAGAGCCAGGTGGGACCAAAGCGGTGGTGGAGTGGGTGCTGAACACTGAAGGCCTTTGTGGTCGGCTGTGATGTGGGAGCCTGGAGGGGGGTTCCAGCTGAGTCCAACAGAGGCACACCAGGTGCTGTCTTGGGCATCCAGGGCATTGGTGGCAGCTCAGAGGACAGTTATTACATTACCAGGGGGTATGTAGTGCTACAGGATAAGCACTGGACTACAAGGTCAGAGGTGTAAAACCACCAGCTGCTTCTTGGGAACCCTATACAGGGTTGCTATGAGTCAGAACCAACTTGGCAACACTTAACAACATAGAAACCGAACAACTGGATCGCCTCTCCACCAAAGGGAGCAGTATAAGGCAACGTATTAGCCGTTCTGCATGGACTCTAGAGGTGGAAAGAGCCCATTTTACAGATAAGGAAACTGAGGCTCTAAGTGGCTAAGGAACACACTCCAGGACAAACAGCTAGTCGCTGGCAGAGCTGGAACCCACCTACCTCAGGTTCTCCCCTCCTTCTGCGCACTCGTGGTTCAGCTTATCTGGAAGGGCTGACACGAAGTTCTTCAGGTGAGCCAGCTCCAGGGATGTCCAGATCTCTTCATCTGAGTACTGGCTGAATGGGTCCAAGTTCATGCGGAGGGAGCCCGAGAACAAAACAGGGTCCTGTTCAGAGAGCAGACAGGAAAGCAGCATGAGAAGCCCACCATCACACGATACTCCGACGACAGTGTTCTCACCAGGACGATGGCAGAGGGCTTCTCAGAGTGAAGGAGGTTTCTTTTTTGAACTTCTCAGAGCCTCCAGCAATCAGGGTGAGGGGACATGCTGTCGGGGAGTCCTCCCTGCCCCCACCCCACCTCCAAGAGAATCTGAGAAGGAACTTTAGGGAAATCCGTTTGTTGATTACAAGTAAGCAGTAAGAGGTGACATACTAGGGATTCAGCACCTACAGGGATCAATTCAGAAAAGTCTGATTTTTGCCCAGTTCTTATGAGGGTTGGAGATGTTCCTTCCTGAATCTGGGAGGCAGCAGACAGAAGCCAGGGCTCTGCTGCACTGTGTGAGTGGACGGCAAGAGCAAGGACACAGAGACGAAGACTCATACTACTTGCTGTGGAACTGATTCGGACTCACAGTGCCCGCCCCGTGTGTGTCAGAGTAGGACTCTGCTCCACGGGGCTGATTTTTCCAAAGCACATCTCCACCTACTTCCAAAATGCCTCTGGATGAACTTGAACTGCCAGCCTTCCGGTTAGTAGTCAAGCACTTAACCAGTGGCGCCACTCAGGGACACCAGATAAAGGACCACCCCCTGGCTAAGGCCCACACTGTGCTCAAGAGGAAAAGAACAGAACAGTGAACGTCACCAAACACAATGGAAACAATCAAGTAGGAGCAAATTCACATCTGTCCTGTAGCAAATGCACGTTGGTCCTGAAAGCAGGTGTTCTGTGCTGATGTGTTCTCAGCACCTGCCCCAGCCCCACCTGGGGGATGATGGTGATCTTGAAGCGGAGACTGTGCAGGCCAATCTGGGCAATGTTGATGCCATCGATGATGATCTGGCCTTCGGCTGACTCATTGATCCGAAACAAGCCCAGGGTCAGAGATGACTTCCCGGCTCCTGTCCTCCCCACGATGCCAACCTGTGGAAGAGGAAGGGCCCAGGGAGAGTGGGAATGCTGGTATGTGGGGTAGCCCCATGCCAGTGTTTCCCCATTTTGGGTATCTTTCCCATCACCATTCACCTAACCCAACAGGTTTCTGGCTCCCTGAGAAAATGAGTTCTTTTCCTAAGTCCCTGAGACGTAACAGATAAGCATCAGGCAGAAGGGATTTTTCAACAAAGCCCCATTATCTTCAAATCAAGATAAAAGTAAGCAATCCTCAGGTTAAGGAGCCCTAGTGGCACAGTGGTAAAGGCATTGGCTGCTCACCCAAAGGTCAGCAGTTCAAACCTAGCAGAGGCTCCTGGGGATAGCAATCTGCTCTCATGAAGATGGCAGCCTAGGAAACGCGGGGACACACTTCTATTCTGTCGTACTGGGATGTCTGAGTCACAATCAACTTGATGACATACAACAACAACCTGAAGACATTTTCTCACACTGGATTTTCAGTCCCCTGATAGCGAGGGTTCCATCCTCAACTTCTGAAACAGTCCAATGATTCCAGCAGAACCCCATCTCAGTAGAGGTGAGCCAAGAGGTCACAGATGTGACCTGGTCTCCACTTAGCCCCCCGTGAGGGAACTGACCAGCTGCCACTGATTCAAATCTGACTCCCGGTGACCCTGTGGGTTTCAGAGTTGAACTGCCCTCCGTCAAGTTTACAACAGCTGTAACCTTTCTTAACTTGATTGCCAGGACTTTCTTCCAAGGTGCCCCTGGGTAGGTTCGAATGGCAAACCTTTATAGGTTCGTAGCCAAGCTCTCATCCACCTGTGCCATCCTGGTGCCTTCAGAAAACGAGGCTCCCATTGCATGGTCAGTGACTGCCGGTCCTGCAAAGGCCTGGTCATAGCTCTCTCCTTCTATCCAGGCTTCCTTATGAGAAGAGTCAGAGTGCCAAAGAGTGTGCACATCAATTCCCAGGTCAGAAGATGAGCCCTAACTCTGCTCTAACTGAGGACTAACATTCTCAGCTTTGTGGAAGGGCTTCAGGGAAAGGTTGTTCCTGGAGCAGCACGGGACCAGGGGAAGGTTCCAAACTTCCGACAACGTCCCTACCTCCTCCTCTGAGCCATCCCTAATAGTGATGGAAGCATCTTTCTATTCCAGAGACTAACTTACATGCCTGTGGGGGCCAACTAGGCATATGAGCCGGTGTAGGATGGGACTGGTCTCACTAAGAAAGAGCCCCATGTGGGCAGTGTAAGACCACTGTTTTGCAGACATTCCAATTTTTCAAGAAAAGTAGAAAATGGGGTTTTAATATAAAATCTCCCAGATTTTTATGGGAAACTGATTCAGATTAAATAACAACATGTCTATGGGCCTCATCGGGCTACTGGGCTTCCCCATCTGCAGCCCAGCTAGAAGTCCTTGGGGGTGGGGGCAGCTTTTACTTCCATGAGCCCCCACTCCCCACTAAAGGCCTAGCCCTCCCGGACCTGGGACAGATGGGGAGAGACGGTGCCTCCAGCTTCATCTGTCTGGTAGCAGCCAACACCCAAGTGTGAAAGTGCAGGGGTATGGGTGGCGGGCACCCACCTTCTCTCCGCCGTCGATAGTGACATTGATGTTCTTGAGCACAAGGTCCAGGTCATCTCGGTAACGCAGGCCATAGTCACGGAACTCCACACGGCCCACCTGGGGCCAGTTGCTGGGCGGAGCCGACCCCTCGATTTGCCAGGGAGCCTGCAATCAAGGTAGAAGACAGAGTTAGGAACTCAAAGTCCACTCCTAGTCCCTTCCAGTCCCATCTCCCTCCTGCTCACTGACCACCTGGTCACGCCTCGAACATACTTGCATGTCTCGTTCCTGGCCTCTGCGTGTGCGCGTACCGCCTCCACCAGCTGGATATTCTCCAACCTACCCTCCAGTTCTCGGGCCAATGTGACCAGCCTCCCTCCCGGTCCTGCACCCTCTCCCCTCCCTGAGCACTGACACCCATGTCCACTGGAAGAGCCACTGTGTGGACAAGCTCTGGCAGGGCAGGCTAACAGCTCTATCCCCAGGACCCACCGCACACACTCACGTGTATGAAAGCCAGACCCAGAAACCTGTCTGTGAGACAAACCAAACCAAACCTATTGTCACCAAGTCAATTCTGACTCATTGCGACCCTATTAGAGTTTCTGAGGCTGCAAATCTTGATGGAAGGAGAACACTACGTCTTTCTCCCATGTGGGTTTGAACCGCCAACCTTCTCATGACAGGCCAGTGCCAATAGAGAGCAATATACAAGTGGCTAAGACTGTACCCTGTTAACGGCACAACACTGGCAGGAGCTGGGAAAACCAGACAGTCCACTGAGTTCTGGCTCTCCCAGAGTTATCTCCCCTGAGCAGATACTCCAGGGCTGGGGGCAATATAACAAGAAGCAGCACTCACTGCCAACCACATGCCCCCCCTTCCCAGGGTTTACACATGAGGACGCTGAGACACAGAGAGGGCTAGTGCTTTACCTAGGGTCACACAGCTCTGATCACTGCAAAGGGGACTTTACAACTTTTAGGGACCGGACACGCACAAATGACGGGTTTGGCTGCAGTTGTTCGGAACACAGTCCGGAAGTCCCAAGAAAGGCATAGAAACATACAGAAAATGCCTGTTACCTTTCAGACAGAAAACAGGTTGGCTGGAGAAGTTCTAATAGAAGGAATGTGATTTTACTGAGTGCTTATAGTGTGCTAGGCCGCTATGCTAAGTGCTAGGGCTATAACTTAGGGTCCACGAGCACCTCACAGTGACCCGAGAGGTAGAGCTAGTGTTACACACAGGGACGAGTGTGGTGAAGAGTAGAAATAACAGGCGGACCCTATTTATGATGAAAGAACAAGAACCATGTGCATGTATGTGGGAATGCATGGGGGGGGGGGCGGGTAATGCACGAGAAAAATCCAGGAGGCAACACCAGGCTTAGCAGAGGTTATGTCTGGGGAAGGAGACAAGCCAAGGATCGTCCCTCTCTTTTCCTCATCAACTTCTTCATTCTTCTCCCACACCACCACCCCCAATGAGGCAAAATTTACCTGACATAAAATTCACAATTTTAAAAGGTTGAATTCAGTGACATTTAGGACACTCGTTAATGGCATGCCGCTTACATGTTTAATGTATGTACACAAATGAAAGGGGCATGCTGTAAGGGCCTACTTATAACTATTTGAGAGGGCTGAAAAAACAAAACAAAACTGGAGAATGGAATTGAAAGGTAATGGATTTTTCCCAGGAACTTTGGGAAGCCCCCTTATCTGTCTGTGGAAGGTCTATGAGTGTATGTGTCACCAAACCCCACTGACATCAAGGCTATGCTGATTTCAAGTCACCCTCTAGGACAACTCAATGGCACGAACAACATAAGACAGAACAGAATTGCCCTAATGGACTTCCGCTGTGGTGCTGTGGGTTAATGCACCAGACTGCAAAGCCGTCTGAACTGCAAGGCCAGCGGTTCAAGCTCACCAGTTGCTCCTCAGAAATCCTATACAGGGTCACTATGGGTTGGAAACGACTCAACAGCACGCAACAACAACAACAAAGGGTTTCTGAAGACTTTCTGAATGTCACATCTTTCTCCCACAGAGAGGCTGGCGGGTTTGAACCGCACACCTTTCAGGTAGCAGCTGAGCTCTTAACCACTGCGCCACCAGGATGTGTGCTCTCTCTCTCTCTCTCAATACATTATTTATACATAAATGAGGGTAAGTCAAATAGTTTTGCTACTAGTGTCCTAGTTCATACATTCAGGGATTCATTCCAAACAAAATGTGTTTGTGTCTCTGGGATCAGTGGATGGACGGCCGCAGACAAGCTCTCTAAGGAATACACTTATCTCAGGCTCATATAGGCGGCCTTCAGAGAAAAGGCCCAATCCAAAC